TTCTCTCCTCACAAATTCTTCTTGTCCTCCTGGGTCAGCTCACACATTATCTCAGCCATGCAGGAACTCCTCTTAAGAGAGCCACTGGCTACCAAGGCAGAGCTCTTGTTCCAGTTTTTGATTATTCTTTCATCCAACCATGAAATCTGTCTATCCGCCCCATATTACTTGACTGAATCATATGTAACTGGGCTTGTGCCAGACTCTGGGATGTAGAATGACTTGACTTGTGTGCTCACAGCTTACTGGGGGAGACAGACCGTGAGCCAGACTAATGACAATACAGTGCTTTAGTGCATCTGCAGAAGCATGAACACACACGCAAGACTTGCAATAAATGTAGGTATGTTGGGGAAGCTTTAGGAAGACAAGAGAGACATTTATCTTGAAGGATAAATAGGCATTTTGCAGGCAGCAAGGAAAGTATGAAGTCCAGGTCTCCCTTGGTAGCATTTAGACCCTGAAGCAAATATTTCTTTGTTCACTCTGCTGCTCATCCTGGAGAAATCAAGTGAAAATGAACTCATGTTAAATGTGTATGTGTGTATATATTTCAGTTTTTTCTTCTGACAGGAAATACGAGGTCTCTGAATCAGAGAAAAGATCATTTATTACTCACAGATCATCTTCTTACCAATTCCCTGCATCCCTATCTCTTTAGATAATGTGCAGTGGGGTTGCACCACAGGAGATAAGCACTGAAACTGGAAGACTCAGCTTATATGGATAGCACAGGCATGTGAGGCCATTTTCTCCTCCTCCTCCTCCTGAGAGAGAAACCTTTATTCTGGAATGTAAACAAATCCTCTCTGGGGAGGGGGCGAGCCGTCTCTACTTTTCCTTTTCTACGCTGGAATATATATAAGTGAGTGGCTTCAGATACTACACTTGATCTTAGCCAAAAGGCCCGAGAAGTGATAAGCAAATGGTTTCAGGAGGAAATAAGTCCCTAAAGCTCCCAGGGGCAATACACCATCTCTAACTTCTGAGGCATGTTCTTTATTGAATCTTCCTTCAGCCCGGTATACCAGTGCTCTTTGCTCAGAAAAAGAAAAAAGGGGTCTTCCCCTTCTCTGGGATACAGCAGCAGAAGCAGTGTTGTTGGCAGTGGTGATGTTCAAGGAAGTGTGGCCCTGAAAATATGGCAGGCAGAGGCCCAGAGCACTGCAGGCGTAGCTTGTGATGCTTTGGTGCCATTGCAGTTGTGACTATTTCCTAAAAAGGTAAACACGGTCTCAACTGACTTTGTGAAGTCCTTCTGTCAGTGATGAGTTAGGTGCTTGAGTGTTGATTGAAGTGCAGCAGCAGACAGCAGGAGATAGAGCTGACTGGACATTGGTGGGGTTGGTGGAGAGAGACTCTCAGGTCAGGGGACTGGAAGGTGGGGTCCTCTAACTTTGATCAAAGTCACAGTTACACTGAAGTGTTTCTGGGAAAGCCTCTGTTGGAGATTATGATTCTACTGGGTCATTGGGGAACAGTGGAAGGTGAAAACGTTGGGCTTTAGAATCAGCCAGACCTGAGTTCAAATCTCAGTTCTGTCATTCAGTAGCTATGTGTCTTAATTTGTCTTCACCACAAAGTAGATATTAGACAAGGACCAGCTACAGGTAGTTTATTTGAGAAGCACAGTGATAGGGTGGGGAAGTGAGAGGATGAATGGGCTACTACTATGAGCAACTAGAGCTCAGTGCTCTGAGAGTCTTATGATAGACAGGGTAGAATGCACTCAGTAGTGTCCCATGAAGAGACAAGGAAGCTAGCGTTTTTATCTACCGACTTCTGGCTTTCAGTTGCAGGTCAGTCTGGGGGGCACCTCTGGTGAGCCCACATGCTCTTGTAGCTGGAAAACTCTCTCAGGCAGAGTGATGCTATTGGTGTGCTTCTGGGAACTTTCTGTGGGTGACCTCCAGGATGTACTGAGGGGCTATGGACAAGATACTAATTATGTGATCTTACCTGTCTCCATGTCTCCAAAATGGAGTTCATAAAACTTAACTACACTGGATTGGTGGGAAGATTAAGCACAACAGAGTTCATAAAATGCCTCTCATAGTTCTTGAAGCATAGTCGATACTCTATAAATGAGAGCTTTAGTAGCATTAAGTTAACATGACAGAACAGTGGCTTTTCCTTTGTAGCTGACTTAACACTTGTTTCTATCACGGTAAGTTGTGTTAGAGAAGAAAGTTGACTGGGGTCAGAAGGGGCAATCTGTGGTTTTAGGAATAGAGATTTCCATTGAGTGAAGCTACCCATTTGTATGGGGACAGAATCTATTCCTTATAAGCATTATAAAGCCAACTAACTAGCCTAATAAGATATAATTAGATTGTTTTCCCAGTATTAAAGCTTTTGCCAGTGGCTTGTACATTTTGTGGCTATAAAGAATATCTATAAAGAATATTTGTCGGTTAATGCTAAATCTCAGAGCATATCCAGGTTGACATCGATGCCAAACTGGTTGTGTTTTTTACGTTTGCACTAAATCTAATTGTAGGTATTACCACACCTACAGTACAAGTCTGTGAATACATCCCTACTAGGAAAATGTGGGGTTGGGGAAAAGGTAACAGTTATCTGCTTATGTCAAGGGAATGGGGTGGGTGGACTTGGAAGGTATGTGAAAAATAATAAGGGAGCTTGGTGAACAGGATCCATCATGAATGGAGAATTGAATTTTATTCTTATTTTGTTTTATTTGAGGGGGAGTTGGAGTGGAGCTGAATATGGCCAGTGTTGTTCATACTTTGAGAGGTTCTGGGGGACAAGATGCCATGAGAGAGATTGGGTCATGTGTTGTCCTCAGCTCTACCAGAGGTGGTGGTTGGAGTCATTTGGGTGAAAGTGCTGAGTTCCTCCTAGTTGAGGCCTGCAGGAAGAGTCAAGGTGTGTTCGTCCCTGTGATGGGCACAGGAGGTCAACTGTGTACCAGCCCTTCCCTCTCCTCTGTGCTAACAGACCCTGATTTTGTTTGGCTATCAGGTATCTACTCCTTGATCTTGGGGAAAGTGGACTCGAGCCAGCAGATGAATCATGTTTGGTGCAAGCCAATCATGTTATTCCATTTGTATTTCCTAGAGTTTGATCTCTGGTAGTCTAGTGACCCAGGAGAAGCCTAATGGGGATTTTAGGAAATATTTTCTTTGTGGTAAAAAGAAAGAGATGAAGGAGAAGAGGACTTCCCTTCTTCCTGCTTTTGGACTGGTTAGTATTGTGGCAGCTATTATGTGATCATAAGGGGACATCTCCGTCACACTGAGAATGTAACAGAATGGGAAAGTGGAAAAATTCTGTGTCATTGATGACATCACTGAGCTTCTGGATTAACCTGAGACTGCATACATTTGCCTTCTTATAGTGTGAGACTTCTGTTGTTTAAACCACTTAAAATTTTCTTCTAATGCTTATTTATTTTTGAGAGAGAGAGACAAAGAGCAGGGGAGGTACAGAGAGAGAGGGAGATGAAGGGTCCGAAGTGGGCTCTGCGCTGACAGCAGATGGCCTGATGTGGGGCTCGAACTCACGAACTGTGAGATCATGACCTGAGTTGAAGTTGACCCTTAACCAACTGAGCCACCCAGGCACCCCTGTTTAAACCACTTTTGATGGACTATTCTGTTGTTGAAGCCAAAGCATCTTGATTGACAGAGCTCTGGATAAAGCACAAGTCTGGTGGGAGGGGAGATATGAAAGACCCTGACCTTAGGAATAAGTATCTATGGAAGAGAGGAAGAGCTGAGGCAGAACTGGGACCTGTGGAGGAGGCTCAGTCACCACTGACCAGGGCAGAGAATGGATTGGGACTCCCTGTTGATCACGAGGACAGCCAGTGTTCCCCACTGCTAGAAAGTGCAGTCAGACCAACACACTAGTGTTGTCTGTACATGAAAGCAGAAGCCAGACAGCAGAGGCCACTTTGGTTAGGTATTGTGGACTGGTGCAACCATGGCAAGCAAGCCCTACCATTCCTTCTGTGGGAGATGTGGGGGTCAGGACCAACATGATATTACAGCTCTGGGTAGCCTGATGGTGGTGGAAGAAACAGGGGCTTGGAAGCCAAACAGATCTGGGTCCTGCCACTCACTTGGGCAGAACTTCACTTTCCTTCTCTGTAAAATGAGGACAATCATATCTGCCCCACTGGGTTCTTATAAAGGTTAGAATACATTAGAGTGAATTAACTTCTCTAGTCTATAATATAGTGGGAGTTTATTAAAAGATGATTATTATCACTTAATAGAGACCTGCAGAGGTAATGAAGATGCTTCATGGTGTACCACTAGATGCATGGCCAATAGATGCTGAGTGAGATTAGGCCAATTTGAGACTTGCTAGGGTAATCTGGTGTTGACCTACTCTGATTAGTCTTCTAAGAGAGAAGACCCTGGGGATGGAGTTTCTGGAGATCATTTGTTCTCTGTCCACACAGACATATCTGAAACAATAGACTTTCTTGGTAGGGGGGAACATTAATATTTGCAATGACATTGTTTTCCCCGGAGCAGGGAGGAAGACAAAGACAGAACATGTGCAATGCTGATATAAACAAGAATGCCAGCGATAAGTGGGTTTTCCAAAGTTCCCAAGGGACTGCGTGGGGGCTTATCATGGGGTCCCACACTCCTGAGAAGAGGGAGGGGGAAGAATGTAGAATGTTCCCTGCACATCCTATCATTGACAACTTGCATTATAAAAGCACCAGAGGTATGAATGTAATAACCAGAATCAGAAGCTTCCTGCTCACGGATATGAGGGGGAGATGGACCAAAATAGCCTCACAGCACTAATAGCAGACTCTGGGAAGCCACCCCTTCTCCTCTGGAGCCCCTTTATACACACCTCTTCTAAGTAATTTCCAACCTTTTGTTGACTCACAAAAAGAAGAAGAATAGAAGTTACTGGCGTTTGTAGTAACAGGATGAGAAAGTACGAGACTTCCTGTTGTGCGTGTGACAGCTGGTGATAAGTGGAGGGCTCTGCACAGGAAATCCGCTCAACTTCTGCAATGTGACCTGCCTGAAACTTGGGCGCTCCTTCAGTCTGGATGTTGATGGCAGGACAGGGGGGCGCCTGGACCATGGGCGACGTGGTAGAGAAGAGTTTGGAAGGGCCGCTGGCACCTTCTACGGATGAGGCCTCCCAGAAAAGAGGAGACCTGGTAGAAATCTTAAATGGGGATAAGGTAAAATTCGATGACACGGGACTCTCCTTAATTCTGCAGAATGGCCTGGACACCCTCCGCGTGGAGAATGCTCTGACAGATGTCATCTTGTGTGTGGACATTCAGGAATTCTCCTGCCACCGCGTGGTGCTTGCCGCAGCCAGCAACTATTTCAGGTCAGCATGCCTAGGATTGCAGTCAGATTGGGTGCAGGTTGTGAGGAAAATCGATATTGATGTGATAACCCAATCTAACTAGTTGACTGTTGTTGCATGTATGTTTTGTGTATCTATTTAGGTTCATGTGTCTATTCCAGATACAAGAAAGGAAGCTGTTAAGCCTTAGATTTTAGATTTGTTTAAGGCATATTAAAAGAGAGATTGGTGTCATTTGAAAGCAATGTTTATATTTATGGTAAATCTTCTGTATATGTGTCATTGTTTCAGAGGATGGAAAATTACTGAAGTCATGGGGATTTTTTTTCCCCCTTGGTTTGACTAGTGTGTTGGAAACATGATGTTGTCTTTGTTCACCAATGTTGTGGCCCCTCTTTTGGAGTTATCAAATGACTTGCTGAAAATTAGGGGCATCTGGTTGTGCAGCAGGTGGATTGGAAAAGAACGTAGTAACAAAGGTGCTTTAGCAGGGAGAGGCTCCCAAATATAACACACTCTGAGACCTGGGTTCCATCCCTCTCTTCCCTTCCTGACAGTGAGACTTGAGGCAAGTCACTTCATGCTCTGAGTTTCTGTTTTGTTATCTGTACATTGGGGATAATGATGATTACCTCTCTGGATTGTTGTGATAATTAAATATGAGAGGGAAAGGGTCTTACACAGTGCCTAGGGTATAGTGGATGCTCAGTATGTCTTTGTTGAAAATCTTCACCTCATTCTGTTTGGTTCAGCTTAGAACCATTTATTGTTTACCATGAGCAAATGCCTGGGATAGGAATGTGGGAAAATCAGGAACACAGTGAGTAGGGCTGGATCCAGAGATCTCCAGACCAATGTAGACATGGTGGGAAACAGTCCCAAAGAGAAATGGGGATGAAGAAGGTATCTGGGGAACTTGAAAAAGAAATACATTTAGAATTTCTTTTTTTTTAAAGCTAATTTATTTATTTATTAATATTCATTTATTGTTGAGAGAGAGAGACAGAGTACAAGTGGGGGAGAGACAGAAAGAGAGAGGGACACAGAATCCAAAGGCTCCAGGCTCCAAGCTGTCAACACAGAACCTGACATGGGGCTCGAACCCACGAACTGAGAGATCATGACCTGAGCCAAAGTTGGTTGCTCAACTGACTGAGCCACCCAGGCGCCTCTACAGTTCCTTTTAATGAGATTCTTCTTAACTCTTGGTTCTGAGGAAAGTAAAAACTATCTATGTAAACATCATGAAAAGTATTTTATCTTTTTACTTTTTCTGAGATGCTTAGAGGGAAATTTTTACTTGGAATTCAAAGAGCAGTGTCAATGGATTGTTGTGGGATTGATTAGGTCCCCTATGTAAACAAGGCAAGGGGACACCTGGGTTTGTGGGAAGTAGCGCCAGCCATGTGCCAGACAGACATAGTATCTGATTTTATTTTTGCAGCACTGCGGTGAGGTGGCTGATGTCCCCTTTTACAGATGAGGAAATGGAAATCCAACATTACAAATGTAATCATTGCTGAAGTAGGGATTAGGCACGTTCTAGAAATCCTTGTTTTTACTGCAATAAAAATTGCCACTAAATTTGGGGCTCCATTCCAGAGGAAGTATATAACAGGTAACATGTAGGTACAGCCATAAAGTTGGGATGACAAAGATAAACATTTCTCACCCCACCGGTATTGGTTGTATCTTTCACATTGATCAACAACCACTTTCAGAAGTGAATGAAAGTCAACTTAGCTCAATGTACTTAGTATCCATTTTTAGATTTATTGATTCTCTTTTGAATCACTGGAAAATGGCAGTCATACAAATGTATGCCTGATTAGCAATTTAGTTAGTGGCTCAGCCTGCCTATGGAACAGGACCGCTGGCTGTGTGCTCTCAAGCACATCATTGATTCCTCTGGTCCTTGGGTTTCTCATTCTAAATGGAAGGTGTTTAGGCCCAGGTCCTTCCCACCCTGCTGATGTAGGATACTTAGGGAAAGTGTGTACCAGCCCTCAAAGGTGGTGGTGGCCATGAGATCCTGGAGGCACCCACACAGTGTGCATGTGTGCCTATGGTTGAAGACTCTCTTCCAAAACTGCCTGGTCACGTAGGGAAATTCCTTCTTTTCTTCAGAGCAGCAACTTTTGATTCTTATCTTGGTATTTCCAGGATGACTTTCCTCCTATAATGAACACAGTCTTGGAGACAGAATTCTTTTTTCCGGTATTGCTATTAACTGCTATTAATAATAACTTCTGTTGTTGAGCACTTAGTGAGAGCAAACCTCTGTGCCACCTGTGTCCCATACACCATCCCACGGCAGCCCTGCGGGGTAGGGAATTTTATGCCCACTTACAGATGAGGAATGAAAGCCCGGAGTGTCTCGGTGAATAAAGTGACCGAGTGGGATTTGGACTTAGGACTGACATGAAGTCTGACATTGCCTCACCACCCGTTTTGCTTAGTTTCTAAGGTTTTGAAAGGGCTAGGGAGCCAAGTTCCTCTTATGCTCACACTTAGGAAGGGCAGAGAGCCTACTCTGTCTGAGAGGCTTCTGACACAGCCCTCTTTGCTTTGGAGGGCCTGGAAGCTGGCTATTAAATTTTGTACACTTTTTCTTTATTCATTGAGAACATAAATATTTTCCATGGAGTGACTGAACCACAGTTTATTTAACCAGTCCCCTGTTGACAGACATTTGGATCATTTCTAATCTTTTTTTTTTATTATTTTTTTTAACGTTTATTTTATTTTTGAGACAGAGAGAGACAGAGCATGAATGGGGGAGGGGCAGAGAGAGAGGGAGACACAGAATCGGAAGCAGGCTCCAGGCTCTGAGCCCTCAGCCCAGAGCCCAACGCGGGGCTCGAACTCACAGACAGCGAGATCGTGACCTGAGCTGAAGTCGGACGCTTAATCGACTGAGCCATCCAGGCGCCCCTCGTTTCTAATCTTTTGCCATACAACAATGTTGTAATGAATAACCTTATACATATGTCATTTTTATATGTGTGCAGGAATACCTGGGAGTGCATTTCTAGAAGAGGGTTTGCTGAGTTAAGGAGAAATGCATCTGCAGTTTAAGTGGATATATATGCCAGATCCGCCTTTATAGGGGTTCAGTCATTTTGAACTCCCGACAGGCTTGCCAAAAGAGGACGGCTTCCAACTTCGGGATTTTTCCCAGTATGACAGATGAGAAACAGTATCTCAGTTTTGTTTTAATTTGCATTTCTCTCATTTTGAATAAGCTCAAACGTCTTTTTGTATGTTTAAGGATTGTCTGTAGTTCTTTTCTGTGAACTGTCTCTTCACGGCCTTTCAAATTTTCACGTATATATATATTAAATGTTTATTTATTTATTTTGAGGGAGAGACAGCAAGAGACAGGGAGTGCATGTGTGAGCAGGTGACAGGTAGAGACAGGCGGAGAGAGAGAATCCCAAGCAGGCTCCATGCTCAGCACAGAGTCTGATGTGGGGCTTGAACTCATGAACCATGAGATCATGTCCTGAGCTGAAATCAAGAAGTCTGTTGCTTAACCGAATGAACCACCCACCTACGCCAAATTTTCAGATATATATTTAAAAAAAAAATTTTTTTTTTTTCAACGTTTTTATTTATTTTTGGGACAGAGAGAGACAGAGCATGAGCGGGGGAGGGGCAGAGAGAGAGGGAGACACAGAATCGGAAACAGGCTCCAGGCTCCGAGCCATCAGCCCAGAGCCTGACGCGGGGCTCGAACTCACGGACCGCGAGATCGTGACCTGGCTGAAGTCGGACGCTTAACCGACTGCGCCACCCAGGCGCCCCCAGATATATATTTTTTAAAATTAAAATTTATTTTTATCAAAGTACTGCATGCAGATAGTTAACAAAGAGTCAAATAGGATTTAAAGACTTATAATGAAAAAACAAAATTCCTCTTCACCTCTTCTACCCTTCAGGATTGTTCACCAAAAGTCACCATTTTTTATGTTTAGCTGTTTCTTCTGGTATTATATTTATATTTCTTCAAAATATGCTTATGCTACTATTTCTTGATTTCTCAACGTTAGACATCATTTACTGATTTCCTAGTATGTCTGATAAGGACTTAGCACTTACTCCAAGCTCCCTTACCATACACTGACCTTTACTACAATCTCTCAGTATAATGTTTTCACATTTTTCCTGGATAAGTTTGTATTAAGAATTTGCATGATGTTCATGAAAACATTTTTCTTGTTGAACCAAGTTGTGTGAAATGATTACATTTTGTTTCATGTAAAGCTTTTTGTCTTTCCTGAAGTTAATAATTCATTGTTTTTTTCCATTTGCTTAGTTGTGGGACTATCTTTTGCTCGCATCTTCTCACCATGATCTTTCATGTGGTCTAGTGCATCAAAGAATCTACCAGTTCCATTTTCCCCCAGAATCTTCCTCACCGACATCATTTTACACATGTTCTCTGGACCTGCTGCCCAGCTATTGTCTACCTGCATATATAACCATGGTGGCTATAAACAGGGACTATATTAGTAACTCAGACAATGTAGTTCCCTTTGGGGGCCTATTTAGAAGTCTTGAGTGGAATGAGGAAGTTGGGAAAATACATAGAGTTGAGGCTGAGAAAAGCGCAAGGGAGAATAAAGCTGAAAAAGTAGCTCGTGACATACATTAAATGTCAACAGCCAAATGTCAAGGTGTCTGAATATTATCCTAGCAGGAAAATCAAGGAAAGCATAATTTAATATTCATAGTAATTGTTTTTTAAAATGTTATAAAACTAGTCGTGTGTTTTAAAAGACCACTAAGGGGCGCCTGGGTGGCTCAGTCGGTTGAGCGTCCGACTTCGGCTCAGGTCATGATCTTGCAGTGTTTGAATTCGAGCCCTGCGTCGGGCTCTGTGCTGGCAGCTCAGAGCCTGGAGCCTGCTTCTGATTCTGTGTCTTCCTCTCTCTCTGACCCTCCCCCGTTCATGCTCTGTCTCTCTCTGTCTCAAAAATAAATAAAAACATTAAAAAAAAAAAAAAAAAGACCACTAA